AATAACCCGTTAAGGGCCAAATAGAAAACAGCTCTGCAGGCCTTTGGAGCCTTTTTTTCTTTCCTAAAAGGGAGGAAAACAGAAAATATTCCATGCATTGGTATTCAACTGGAAATCTGGACCCCATCAATAAAGACAAGCAGGAGCCAGCAGGTGGCATGGTGATTAAGGGTGCTGGACTCACACATGGCTGACTGTGGTTTGAGTCCTGGACCTGGTGGCTCGCTTTCCTATTTTCCTTCTCTCTCTCTTTCTCTCTCTTTTTCTGGTCAAATTTAAATAAATAAAGTGAAACAAAATCAAAAGGAGAAAAAAAATGATCAACTTAAAAAAAATAAAAACAAGCGAATATAAACTTCAGTGCTGTGTTACGGTCGATTAATGCAAGAAGGGAGAGAAAGGAAAACATGAAACGGAGGAGGAAAAGACAGGGAAAGGAGGAAGCAGAAAAATAATGAGAGAAGAGAGTGGGATAACTTTTTTTTTTTTAAAAAAAGAATTGTTTAATTTACTATTATTTAATTTGCTATAGGGTACATGTGCTCACCAGAGAGAGACGGAGAGTGAAAGAGAGATAAAGTGAGAAAGCAAGCCACCAGGTCTGGGACTCAAACCACAGCCAGCCAAGTGGGAGTCCAGTGCCCCAACCATCATACCACCTGCTGGCCACAAGAGAGTGCAAGAACTTTGAAGAAGGTCAGAGAGAGAAGCACAAGACTATTTCAGTGGGACTTTCTGTGGCACAGTCAGAGCACTGCTGAAAAGCAGCCAGATCCCAAATGGCAACCGAGGTTTGAATCCTCAGCCCAGTCCTTGGGAGGTTTGTGAGTGAGCTCTGATGGGCAGGACGACTAGAGGAAGGAGAACGCAGCATGACCAAACCTTGGAGGGTGCTTACTTCTCTCTCTCTCTCTTTCTCTCTCATGTGTGGGTGCACCCACTCTATCATGAATAAAGAAAAAATATTTCAGTGATGCAATGACACAAAGCACAAGAGAGCAAAGCACAGTCAGAGAACAGCAGATTGAAAAGGTTCAGATGACGGCACTGAGAAGATTGTTTTTTAAAGGTAAGCCACTGTTTCACACTTTCCTATTGATGTGAGCATCTCTAAAATATGGAGAGTCAGAACTGCAAGGACGTAAGCTCATTTCATGCAATTATTCTATACGGGGTTGAATACCGTCCCCCTCAAATTCACATCAACAGGGGACGACAGAATGTGAGTATAATTGGAAACAGGATCTTTGCAGATGTGGTTAGTTAAGATGAGGTCATACTGGATTAGGGTGGGCCCTAAATTCAATGACGGGTGTCCTTATAAAAAGATCACATGACGTCATAGCACACACACGTGAGCATGCACACATTTTCCACCTGATACTCCCCTATTTTCAGATCTTTGGTTAGACCCAAATTTCTTGGGACTCTCCTTTATCCCCCGAAGTCTGCATTAGGACCGTTCCCAACACTTGCCACACTGTGTAACAGCTGGACGCTCAACTCTGTCGGCACTAGATTCTCTAGACCGTATGAACCGAGGGCAAGTGCCATGTGGCTCTTAGTCTCTTTTTCCTTTTATTTATTTTTCCCCTAGAGATGGACAGAAGGGAAGGCATCCACAACAAGGTCTTCATGCCGTGATCCCTTCCTCATCTCGGCTGGACGGGAATCACAGGGGTGCACGTGTGTGCCTGATGCAAACCCAGGACATGTCTCATGTGGTTCCCACCTGGGCCCCTTATAACCTTTCTATCCCTGACACTTACAGCGGTAGGGCCACAGAACACAGTGGGAACCAGCTTGCTCACAAGTGACTGGGCGCTCCAATACGGGTCTCTCGACCTTGCCACTGTGGACTGGATTGCTTTCTGCTGCGGGAGGCCATGTGCATGCAGGATGTCAGCCGCTTTCCCGAGGTCTCCCCACAAGACACCAGTAGTACACCCACCCGACTAGGACAAGAAAATGTGTCTAGACTTTGCCCAGTGACTACAAGGGAGCAAACTGCCAACCAAGAACCACTGCGTTAATGAAGGAACGCTGAGCTTGGAGCAACGTCGCCTCTCCTCAGTCCAGGTCAAGGAGTGAGTTCAGTTAGTCAGTCAGTGAATGCCGACGAGGTGACCCGTGTATGCTTGGGCGGTTGACCTCTGGTGGCTCCTCAGAAGAGGGAAAGTACTCTATTTGCTAAGAATGTTTACAACATGAGGACACAAGGGGGAACTCTAAGGGGGGGAGCTCTAAGGAGTGGGTTCACGGCTGAGAAGTGTCCTTGAGTGGACGCCCCGGGGAAGCACTGAGGCTTAGACACTGGCTTCTGCAGCTGGTCAGCAAGGCTGAAGCCAGGGTCCTAGACTGAGAGAGAGTTTGTGCCAGTAAGTTTGCTAAGGAAGATCCCTTGGGGGTGGGAGGTTCCTCCTCAGAAACACAGGTGGGGGGAAACCACGCAGAACTCACGCAAGCTGTGTGACCAGGGCATCTGCAGTGGGAACGGGGTCTTTGTAGCGGCCACGGCAATAGCCCGTCTCTGGTGGTGCCGAGTGACTGCAGAGTGGAATGTGGGGCTGAGGCGCTCCCCAAATCATCAACACATCAGACCTGAAGGTCGTTAGAAGTCATTCAATCCTTTGGGTTCAACCTGAGCCCAAGGCTCTGAAACTTGAAAATTGTATGAGGTTTCCATGACACAACTGGGTGTGTATATGTGTATGTGAGTATGTATGAGGGTGGGGGGGAGCCATAGCTTTCATCACGTTTTCAAAGGAGTCTAAAATCTTCAGTTGTTAAGAATCATTCATTAATCCAGGAACCAGCGATTGGCGTAATGGCTATGTCGCTGGACTCCCACGTAGTTGACTGCGGTTCACATCCGAGACCCGGTGGCTTAAAACTCACGCCGGGCGCGTGTGCGTGCGTGCCCAAGATCCCAGAGGAGAATGGAGGAGAAGGGATTGCGGCGTGACCATCCCCCCTGGGGGGTGATTTCTTGCTTTCTGTCTCTATGTCTCTTTCTGCCTGTCTGGTGAGCGCACACGCCCTATAGCGAAAAACCTCTCCAAAAAAAAAAGAATCATTCATTAATCCAGTCTCCTCATTTTAGAGATGAGGAAACTGAAGGTCAGAGGTGAAAAGTCTCCTTCAAAGGTCCACAGTTTGAAGCTGGCGGGATGCACACTCGGATATCCCTCTACCTTCCTGCCTATACATGGTTCTCTGATGAACTGGGTTTGTGGGGAGCGAGGTATATGACCAATGGTGAGGACGGGGTTCCAAGGCTTGTGTGGGGGTGGGAGTGAGGTGGGGTCATTGGCGGTGCTCTCCTAGTAGGGTTATTAGATAAAATGCATATTGGTCTGTTATATTTGAAATCCAAATAAATGATTTTTTTTTTTTTAGAGAGATTTTTGCTATAGGGTACGTGCGCTTTCCAGAGAGACAGGGAGAGACAGAAAGAAAGTGATAGGGGCCATCAGGTGGTGTGGTGGTTAAGGGTGCTGAATCCCCACGTGGCCAATAGCAATTCAAGTCCTGAACCTGGTGGCTTGCTTTCTCGCTTTCCCTTTCTCTCTCTCTGGTCAAATTAAAATAGTAATAATTATTATTATAACAAATGTAATTAAATAAATAAATCGTTCTTAAAAAAAAAAAAGGTGAGAAATCATCCCTTCTTTTCCATTCTCCTCTTGCAATTTTTGGGCATGCATGCACACGCGCCTGGTGTGAGTTTAAGGCACCAGGTCCAGGACTTGAACCACGGCTGACTATGTGGGAGTCCAGCAATGTAACCATTACACCACCTGCTGGTCCTGGATAGCTAAAATTTTTAAGTATAAGTATATACCAAACATTATGTGGGATACACTTATACTTAAACATTCTTTGTTGTGGGACCAGCAGTTGGCATAATGGCTATGTCGCTGGACTCCCATGTAGTTAACCGCGGTTCGAGTCTCAGACCCGGTGGCTTAAACTCACACCAGGCGTATGTGTGTGTGTGCCCAAGATCCCAAGAGGAGAATGGAGAAGGGATTGCAGCATGGCCATCCCCCCCCCGGGGTGGGTTATTACTCACTTGCTATCTCTCTCTCTCTCTGTCTCCCTGGTGAGCACACATGCCCTATAGCAAAAATCTCTCACAAAAAAAAATTCTTTGTTGTTTATCTGAAATTCCAATTTAATTGTGTATCTTGGATGTATGTATTTATTTATATTATTGTTATTTTTGCTAAATCTGGTGACTATCTGCCAGGGACAGCCTACAAGTCTTCAGCTAGGAGTCAAACACTTAAGTCATCAGCTAATGGAATTTTTTTGGAGAGGTTTTTGCTATCGGGTGTGTGTGCTCACCAGAAAAACAGAAAGAGAGACAGAAAGTGAGAAATCATCCCCAGGGGAGATAGCCACTCCGCAGTCCCTTCTCCTCTATTCTCCTCTCGGGATCTTGGGCACGCATGCATACACATCCGGCATGAGCTTAAGCCACTGAGGCCGGGACTTGAACCGTGGTCGACTACATGGAAGCCCAGCAACATAGCCATTATGCCAACTGCTGGTCCCACTAATGGATTTTAATGACTCGATGTGTGAGACTCAAACTACCTCCAGTCCTGACTTCAACGGAGGCCACATGAGCGCTGGGTCTCATTTAGTGTACGACTCAGCCCTGCTTGGTCTCCCTGGGACTTTCGAGGCCTGAGTTCTCAAGCGCTATAGGTATTCTGTTTGCATGTGGACTGTCAGAAGATGACATTTTACAGAACTGTGAAGAGTAAAGATCAAATTTATTTAATACAACACCCCTCAGCGTCCTTGCAGCTATGTCACCAAAGTGGACAGGGAAGTGATTTTGCTTAGATGAGCTCATGAGCTCACAACAAAATGGCTACGTCCACTCAAGACACCATCTGAAACATCTTAAGGCCTCATGAGACCATGTTTTGGTTTGTTTTGGTTTGGTTTTGAGCAAGGAATAAATAAAAGAAAATTAGTAAGAAAAATACACATTTCATTTTTCTATTAAAAATAATATTTGCTGTAGGCAACCATCTTGCGGCCTTCAGCGTGGTAGAGGAAGAAAGGGAATAGAAAATCAATGTAAGGACATCTGTGCTTTTTCCACGTTCGTTTTCTATTTCGTGCACTGCCCAGGGAACCCCGTCTTCCAGTCGGCCCATCAGAGGAGGTGCTCCCAAGCAGCTTCGTTTTCCCGTTTGTGGAGGGCAAGGTCATGGAAGGGCCAGGGTGAAGCTGTCTGGTCAGTGCTGCAATTCCAAAGATAAAGAACTACCTAGAATGACAGGGCTTGAAGGACCAATGGGAAAGGAAAAAACAAAAACAAAACCAAAAAACTAGCCCTTAAATCGGGCCGTTTGCTAGACGTGGTGAACTACAAACAATAACCGATTTCTGTGTATGAGGGTGCAGGGGGAAGTCCTTCATCGCTGTAAAAGACAAATATTCAAGTTTCAACATATCCCAGTGGCCTGTTTACCCTGAGCTTCCTTCTGCTCTTCCAGTCACAAGGATGCTCCAACTCGGGACGGCTTCTATCCAACATTATTGCAGCAGGACGGATTAAAGAGCTGGTGGCTTGGCTGGAGGAGTTGCCATCTGCGGTGGGAGCAGGGCGGGTCCATAAGTAAATGCACAGAGCTCTTGGCAAACAGGAATCATCTGCTCTTCTTGGAACGTGGATGTCCTCCCAGGGATGAGCATCTGTCCTTGCTGTCCTAAGTCCCATCAAGGGAGCCTTCCGTTCTCTGCAGTAACAAGACAAGACAAGCTGTGGTCACGCTCCTCAGGACTAAGATTGCCCTACTAGAAAGAGAAGCAAGATGGCAGACAGCGTTTCTTCTTCTTTTTCAATTTGCCAGAGAGTGCATGTGGTCTCTGGAAAGAGACAGGAGAGGAGGGCGAGAAAACATTCCTCCAGGGGACATTGTCACACCATAATCCTTCCCTTCTGTTGGAACTTTGGGCACGCATGCACAAGTGCCTGGCATGTGTTTCAAGCCACTGGGTCCAGGATGCAGTGGGTCATGTGGGATCCAGCAGCCCTAACCACCATACCACCTGGCTGGGTTCAGACAGCACTTCTCAAAAGGAACCACCAGGCAGTGCTGTCATCTGCTGGTAGCCCCATCCTCCAGGGGACAGCTCCTGCCTACACTTGTGTTCCCCTTCTCTCCAATGCCTGCTGCTTAGGGCCTACAGCCTCTGTCCCTGCATATCAGTCTGTCAAAGGACTTCACGCAGTAGCCATGTGCGCCCAGCACGGTGTCCTGGGTGCTACATTTATCACTCAGCCCCATCTCTATCTCTGAGACACACTCCTTTTGGACCGCTTTAAAAAAATTATTTTATTTCAGTTTATTTATTTAAATTTGACTAGAGAGGGACAGAATGAGAGAGAGAAAGAGAGAGAACAAGCCACCAGGTCCAAGACTCAAACCACAGTCCCCTGAACCCCTAGACTGCATTTTAAAAGTTAAAAATGAGGTCAGCAGGTGGCGTGGTGGTTAAGGGCGCTGGACTCCCACATGGCTGATTGTGGTTTGAGTCTCGGACCTGTTGGTTTGTTTTCTCACTTTCCCTTTCTGTCTCTCTTTCTCTCTCTCTTACTCTGTTCCTCTCTGGTCAAATTAAAATAAAGAAATAAAGTTAAATAAAATAATTCTTTTTTAAAAAAAAGTTAAAAATGAAGGACTGAATTTAAATGAGCAAATGTAAATGTTTTGAAATGATGGGACCAGCAAATGGTGGAGTGGTTACATCGCTGGACTCCCATGTAGCTGACCGCAGTTCAAGTCCTAGACCCAGCAGCTTCTAACTCATACCGGGCACATGTGTGTGCATGCTCAAGATCGCAAGAGGAGAATGGAAGAAGGCAAAACATACAGACAACAAGAAATGGAAAATTATTTGCTGACAATAACATGTTTGTTGATGTGCTTGATTGAGACAATATACAGTGTACTCTGGATGGAAAATCTCATTTTGTTTGCTGTAATGATGTACAGTGAATGAATGTAAATAAATAAATAAATAAGAGGAGAATGGAAGAGATGGGATTGTGGTGCGGCCATCCCTCTAGGGGATAATTTCTTGCTTTTTGTCTCTCAGTGCATGCGACCTCTAGCAAAAATCTCTTAAAAAAAAAAAAAGATATGATTCTGCCTTTACAGAGAAACGGCACTCTCTCGGTCTAGCCTTGAAAGTGTTGTGCTAAACCGAAATAAGCTGAACACAAAGGACAAAGACCATCTGATCCCACTTACATCATGGGCCCAGAACGGTCAAGTTCATGAAGACAGTGAGTAGGAGCATCGTTGCTAGGGGCGAGGGAGAGTTAGGGTGGATGAGAACCGTGCTTCCGTGTGGGATAAGGAAGCGGTTCTGGGGATGGGCAGTGGTGACGGTGCGGCCGGCCGTGCAGTGCGTAATTCCGCTCCTAATGCCGTGGAATCACACGTTTTCTATTGGCTAAAATGCTAAGTCTCATGCTACATATATTTCACCACAAATAAGAGGAAGTAAAAAGATTCCTTGTGCCACCTGGTGGTGTTCTTTAACTGCTTCACGAGGTCACGTGAGCCCCCATCCTACCCGGAGCGTTTCGTAATCTATCGGTTACTGATGAGCAACGCTGCTGTGAAACTGAAGGCACAAAAGGCCTTAAAAACCTGCTGAAGGCATTCAGAGGTGGGGCCGGGGTAGCAATGCGGGATCACAGGAACCAGCCTCAAAGGTAATATTTGGCCCACAGGCAAAAGAGCAGAGCATGCTGGGAGATTGTGGGGTAGAGGGGCTTCTGGGAATCGAAGGGTCCAGCATGTGAATGTACTATCCTGGACTCTGTGAGCACAGGACCCCCCTTGTTCCTGGAGCCCCGGGAGGCAGGAGCAGGAGAAGGTACAGGGATAACTCAGGGTCTTGGGAACCCTGGGACCAGGCGAGTTGGTTTCCTGAGGCTGAGCTGAGACAGTGTCTCCATTTTGTTTTGGCCCTTTGGGTCTGAGGAGCCTACAGAACAGGATGCTGGGCTCAAGGGCCCTAGTTAGGAGGCCAAGGCTCTGGCTCCTTCTTTGCCAAGACAGACCTGGGTAAGCGAGCCAAGAAAGTTGGTTGGCCCCAGAGCACTGGAGGGCTGCCAGGCCTGGCAGCTACCCGCTCCATTTCCTCCACTCCGCCCAGAGGAGGGAGACATGACTCGGTGTCCAACCGCTCTGCAGACATCTCCGCTCTCTCTTTGGGCACTGCTGCAGGACCAGCCACAGACAGGAAGGGCCGGGCCAGTCTACAGGGCCTTGGGGATTTGAAGTAAAGGTTAGCACACTCACATCCGAGACCTGGGCTGGCTGCATTTACACCAGAGGCCAGCTGTGAGCCACCCGAGGATAGCCATGAACATGGTATGGACTCCCTCAAAGGGTCGTTTTTGCTTCCAGCACCCCCTGGATCTCTAAGTCCTGCTTCTAGAAAGTGCCCATGGGCCAGCTCTGTAGCACAGCAGTTAAGTACCATGCAGAGGAATCCAGATCCCACACAACCAACCAGGGTTTGAGTCTAGGCCCCAGCAGCATGACAAACACATCGGGCATGCCAAGCGCCTGCCCAGGACCCTGACAGGATGAAGAACTGGAAGCAAAAGGACTGTCATGTGTGACCAGGTTCCACTGGGAGGTGCTTCCTCTCTGCACACTCGGACAGGCAGGTGGGCAGAGGAAGGGGGTAAGACAGAAGAAAGACATGTAATGAGCACTTCTAATATACCTGGACGGTGCCAGGTATTCATTTAATCCTTCCAACAAGTAGGTGAGATAGTTCTATTATTACCACTCTAGAGATGAGAAAAGAGGTCCTGAGAGGTTTAAATATCTGCCCTGAGTAGCACAGCTAAGTACATGGCTGGAAAGCAGCAGGTCTGGTTTCCACGTGGGCCTCTGCTCCTAGGTCAAAGCCTGGCTCTGGTGGAATCCTAGGCCTTCGGTGAGCCGCTGCGACATCCCCTCCACACGGCAGTGGCATTTCAGGGCCAAATAAAGTAAATTCCCCAGTCCACATTCACAGTTGCCAGATTTGATTCGTAGGTAATCAGCTAGCTTTTATATGCTGGCTTGTGGTTTGCCAAGTTTCTCATACAACCCTTAAGAAAACCCTTGTGCGGGACCAGCATTTAGTGTAATGGCTATGTCGCTGGACTCCCATGTAGTCGACCGCGGTTCACGTCCCGGACCCGGTGGCTTAAACTCATGCCGGGCGCATGTGCGTGTGTGCCTAAGATTCCAAGAGGAGAATGGAGGAGAAGGGATTGTAGCATGGCCATCTCCCCTGGGGAGTGATGGAGTGATTTCTCGCTTTCTGTCTCCCTGTCTCTCTCTGTCTTTTTGTAGAGTGCACGTGCGCTATAGCAAAAAAAAAAAAAAAAAAAAAAGGAAAACCCTAGTGCGTAGCTGTTGTTGCTGTTGTCACCATCCTCTTCATCATCTCCATCTCCGAGATGAGAAAGAAGCTTAGACTCCAGGAAGCCAAAAGCTGGCTGGAGAGCTGGAATTCACTCCTAGCTCCGGATTCCCTCCTGGGCAGGCTCCATTGCAGCCCAGCCGTTGGTAAGGAGGGAGGGAAAGGTAACTGACAACCCTGACTCCTCTTTTTTTTCCCATAAGAAGACAGAGTTCTTGCCAAGATCCTGGGGCCCTTGCCAGTCTTGAGCCTTACAGGTCCAGAGTCACCTCTTAAGTACAGGTTGTTCTCGCTCACGGTTATCTGTCTGCGTCGGCCACAAACACAATTTATAAACAAGGCAAAAATGGCAGAGGGAAAATGAAGTCAGAGTGTGCCATTGAAGCAAGTCAAACAATACCAAGTTAGTATTTGGCTCGGCGGTTATCTCATTGCTAAGACATTTCCTCCAATGTTTTCAGAAGCAACGGCCATCAAGCCACTGGGGATGATTGCCAGGTTTGATTTCAGGAAGGAAATCCCCTCCCATTTCCCGGCTGGGCAATTCAATTAATTTTCTTCTTACCCACACCAGCTGATGATTAGGGAAACCAACTATACCTGATTCTCTTCTAAACAAAATCAGCTCACTGAAAGATTCAAAGTTCTTTCCCCAGTGGCTGGGAACCCCTCTGCTCCCGCCAAATGGCTGTTTTTATTTTGGGGGAGTAGGACCAGTTGTGGGTGAGCTTGTCGGAATATCCCAGAACAGACTTCTGGCCCTGTGGGCCCGCTCCGAGGGAAAGGGAAAGTTCTGTGGGCTGGAACTCAGAGGCTTTGTTCAGAGAGGCCCTTTGGACCAGAGACAAAGTAACCAAGTCGGTCCTGCGGTGTGTTTATCCCGCTGGGTAGCAGGTCTGCCCTGGGTGGACACAACCATAGTTATCGCAGTAGGAGAACACATTTTTATCTGGGTCCCACACTGCCGTGGAGCAAAGTTCTCTCTCCAGTCTCAGGGCCCTTAGGGCTGGGACAGCCATATCACTTCTTGAAGGGAGTCTATGTGGTAGCCAGAGCGCCGGCTGGCGTGTTGAGACCTCCTCCATTCCTGGCTCTGCTACTGTCTGGGTGGCCCTGGGTGAGCTGCTCTACCAGTCCGGGCTTCAGTTTCCCCATCCATAAAGGGCTCCCTGCCCTTCTGATGCAACACTCCCTGATATCAGGAGTCTGGGTGGGTTTAGGCTAGAACAAGACATTCTGTTTCATCCCTCTCTTCCTTAAATTGATACCTTTCCTCCGCAAAACACGTCAGTGGCTTCCTGTCTGTCAAAGGCATAATGAGCCTTGTGTTTTATAAGAATTCAGGGCAAAACAAAGGAAGCCAGGGGCCCACTGAATGGGCCACCAGAAACCTTGCTGAAAGTTCCTCCGCCTTGGAAGGCGAATTCCTCATTTCTTAGGGGATGAATGCCCAGTTAACTCCTGCATTGCTGGAGCTCACAGGAAGGTTGGGTATGAGAAGACGGTAGGAGATCTGTCTTTGCAAAGTTTGAACTTGAGCCTCTGTGCCTTTCTTAACTCCTCCAACCTGCCAAACAGCACCTTTTTTTTTAAAAAAAGGTTTTTGCCTTAAAAATAAGAGGGTGTGTGTGTGTGTGTGTGTGTGTGTGTGTGTGTGATGTGTGTTTGCTAGAGAGACAGTAATAGTGAGAGGAAAAGTGAAAAATGGCCCCCCAGGGGGGATAGCCACAATGCAATCCCTTCTCCTCCATTTTCCTCCTGGGATTCTGGGCTTGCACACATACATGTCCGGCATGATAGTCAAGCCTCCAGGTTCAAGACTTGAACTATGGTCAGCCGTGTGGGAAAGCGAACGCCTTAACACCACACCGCCTGTTGGGAAATCTAAACCTCGCAAGAGGCAAGGTGTCTGTGTCCTTCACACTCAAGGCCTAACTTACCTTCCCCCCTCACTGGCCAGTGTCACTCTCACCCTCCCTCCAAGCTGCTAGATCGTTCATGCCTTTGCTGTTGCTGATCTTCCTACCTCGACTCCTCATGGCCTAGCCAAACACCTCCTCCTAGATGAGATCTCTGCCAGGTCTCCCACGCCCGTGCAGTCTGGCTACTCCCAGCCATTATCCCCTGGCTTTACAGTCAGTGATAGTATGTCTGGTGCCCTCATTACAGAGGGAACTCCGGGGGTCAGGGACCATGAGCGCCCCCTAGTGTGCGGGCAGTGATCGGCACAGGTTCTCTAGTTGAACTAGCTGTGGAATGCTCCCCTCCTCTATGCACAACCCCCAACAGGGCCTGGCTGCCAAAGCCTAGACCCTGGACTTGGAGGAAGTCTGTTCTTTGCTCCTTTGGAGCTAAATGGCCTGCATTTTCAATCCTGTGAGGGGACTTCCAGGGCCTCCCTTCTTCTGTGAGCTGAGTTATACAGAATCAGAGGGAGTGAACATTTGTAACCAGAGCTGGCCGGGCTGGTCAGAGCAGCCCAGGGCTCCTGATCTAAAACAGATTGGCATGGGGGCAGCAGGGGGTGGCCGG